CAAACCCGAATATTGTACCATCAATTGATACATTCTCTGGAACCGAACAAGCCCGAATAACTGCCGCAAAACAATAATCTTAGGAAAAAACCATCTTCAAGCAAATGAACAAAAGTTTCGACCGCTTCAAACTCCATGAAATTATTGACAGAGCAAAAGATCATGGAACTCCAAGAAACCAAGTCCCTTTTATTATCGAAGTCCATAAAAATCCTCTCCACCTCGGCCCAATCATTGGATTTCGAGTTGAGACTGATGTGCAAGTTGAGAATCACCGAGTCGAGCTCGAGCTGGGATCAAGCCACAGTGCGATGGACACGCCTCCCAAGCGTGAACACTCGGGAGCGAATGCAGGACTTGAGGAGGAGAGACAAGGTGAGGAGGTAGGGATGGGACCCATCACGGGAACGTGGGGTCGAGGTGGGAGATTGCTCCAGGGAGGCCGCCGCCATCGAGGTGGGTGATCAGGCCGCCTCGTGTTCCAATTCCATGACTCCCATATGATGCAATCCAAGCAGAACAAGGTACGTTTCCATTCCCCAAGCTCCAACTATCATGAGAATACCACTTCAAGATACGTGACGTGTGATTCACCTGTTGCATCTTATTTCAAAGCCAACGTGTCATCGGTGTCACGTTGTTTAAATGTGAAGAACGATTCCCTAATCAATCTCAATCTCATCTTCACATTGGGGTGCAGAAGAAATTAGCGGAACACCGGATGAGGTTGATAAAGTTTCCGGTTTAATCTCGGTTGCACCATAGTCACAGGCCGACACATGATCCCTCGAGTATAAAAGCGGCTTGGGAGGCATTTGTAGCTTAATGGAAGGACTCGCACACTAAAGTTGCAAGTTTTAAGACTTACATGAACAAAATGGAAGTTTTTTAAGACTCAAATGCATTATGTTGAAAAGTTGTAGGACTTTTCCAACCCATTTTCTTTTGATCATTTAAATTAGAGCTAATGTAACCTTCAAGACCATATGATGGCCCTATCAGTATCTTCTCAAGAATTTGATCAATTTTTGGTCATAGTAAATGAATTGCAAGAAAATAAAATTTTGTTGCAAGTGGTGAATAAATATTTGAATTTCGGCGAGCCAAATGCTGAGTGACTTCTTAATGCAATAACCACAAATAAAAACTGCTCCGCGACTTGAGAGCAATCAAGGAAAAAAGAGTGATTGTTGACACCTAAATTTTGTCTATTCATTTAGGGTTTAATCGCATGAAAAATTAGGGATTGATTTTTAACCCCTAAACAAAAATATTTTCATTAAATTGTGTGGCATGTAGACATTAGGCGCATTTGCATTTATAGATTTAGTGAAACATATTTTCGCTTTATTTTACTTCTTTTTTATTTTTATTTATTTAAAATTATTATAAAAAATTAAAAATTTTAAAAAAAATTTAAAAAAAATTAAAAAAAAAAAAAAGAAAAAAAAGAGAGAAGACAAAGGGGAGCTCTTCCCCGTGACTCTCCCTCTGACACTTGCGAAAACAAAAGAAAAGGGGTGCATCGGGGAAGGTTTAACAGCGATTACAGAAGAAGGAAAGTGATGGCTCATAGCTGCATCCTATGCTGAACAAAACCCCAAGGAGAATCGCAGCCGTTTTAGCCAAAAACGGATCTGATTCAGTCCCAAGAAGAGGACCGGCTGCTGGCGCATGAGAAGATGGGGAAGGTGCGCTGATCAACAGGAGTTTTGAGCTGGGGAAGGAAGGAAAAAGCAATGTTGACCATCGTAAGCCCTTTTGGAGGGATGCCCAAAAAGAACCTGCAAGAGGCTCTTTAAAAGAGCGAAGAGAAAAAAGGGAAGAGAACAGGAGCGAAGAGAAAAAAGAGAAAGGAACAGAGAGCAGGGAGGAGAGAATAGAGAGCGGGGAGAGGGACCAAGAAAAAAGAAGAAAAAAAAAAGGGAGAAGAGAAGAACAGAGGGGAAAGAGACGTGAAACCAAGAGAGAAAAACAAAGGGAGGAAGCTACAAAGGGGGTGACCGGGAGCCGGAAGAGGTTTTTGAGAGGGGAGTGCTCCGGCCCCTGAGCTCAGGAGTGCCGGCAAATCCCCTCCCTCTTCTCGGTGTGCCGACCCATCAATCCACGCCGGAAGTTGAGCCGGAAATCGGAAGCTTTTCGGCACGAGCTTCTTGTTCCTCGAAACAACGATACGAGCGTCTGAGCCTCCGTGGAACAGTCCAGTCGCCGCCGTTCCCGTTCACGTCGACTACGATTTCCGCTCCATTTCTGACTGGTAATTCCTCTCCTCAACATCCCTGTTTTTTACCCTGTTTTGGCTGAGTTTAAGATGCCGAACTTCTTCGACGAGTCCACTTGAGACCAAGGCTATTTTGTGACTAGCAAGGTAGATTTAGAGCCTAATACACTCCATATGAATCGAAAAATTGCATAAAACTCAGATATGGAGCCCTTACTCTAGTCGCACAGCACTTGCTTGATAAAATGCCTCAATGAGCCTCTTTGAGCCTAGAACCCCGAAATCTGGCCCTGTATTCTTTGGGATCGTTTCTACGCAAACCAAAGTCCTTTTGTTGCAAAGATGGTCGTTTAGATCTTTATACATCACATTTGAGTCAAAAACCGCATTAAATCTCACGCAAGAGCACATGTCCGAATTTGCACATCACATGCTCGAATGAAACGTCTGAATGACTTTTTTTTTTATGTGAAACCAGTGTTTAGATCCCGGTTTTTGCGTTTGTTTAGTATTTGTATTCATTGAATCAACACTGACTCTTGCGTTTTTCCTACGTTCACGTTCGCGAATCGTCCGAGTCGGCTTCGCATATGCATACCTTCGCTGGAGACGTTCCGCCCGCGCCTACGAAGCCCGCGGTTTGAGGCCACCTTAGTCAGCCCATTCCTCCTCGTTTTAGTATGTGTATGCTTGTTTATTTGCCAGTTTGTGGTATGAGTTCGGGAAGAGAGTTTTGGTCGTCGGCAGGGGAGGGCGTGTTTTTGTTGTCGTTGGAGTGGTCTCCGGAGCGTCGGCCGGCGGTGACAGCGTAAGGCCAGCGTCGGTCGTCGGCGCTGGTGGCCCAAGCCGACGGCCGACGGTGGGGGTCTCCCAGCGACGTCTCAGTGGAGGTAAAAAACGCAGAAAGGGAACTCTCGGTGAAGAACCAAAAGAAATAGAGGACGTGCATGGCAGAAGTGCATGGCAGAAGAGAAGAGGGGGAGGAAAAAGTAATAAAAAAATAGAGAATAAAAACAGAAAAGAAACAAAAGAAAGAGGAGAAAGAAAAAGGGAAAAATGAAAAGAAAAAAATTGAAAAGGAATGAAAATGGGGTCCCGGGTAGGGTCGGAACTTCGGGTCAGGTGTCGGGCGGATCGGGTCAGGGGATCCGGTCCGAATCCTTATTTTATTAATAAAAACATTAAAAAAATATTTAAAAATTCCAAAAAAATAAAAAATATTAAAAATCCCAAAAAAATTCGAAAATGTTTAAAAAACCCAAAAATCTAAAAAAAATCTAAAAAACATTAAAAAATTCAGAAAATTCAAAAACATTAAAAAAATTCGGAAAAATTAGAAAAATTCCGAAAAAATTCAGAAAATTAGGAAATGTTCAAAAATCACCTTTTGGGCTTGATTTCACTAGATATTAGTTTTAATTTCATTTTGGGCTTAGTTTAAAATTCGTAAAAATTGAGAAAATCCTTTAAAAAATTCTCAAAAATCGAATAAGCCATGAGGGCTTTACTTTAGGGCTTTTGATTGCCTTTTCTTTTTAGAGACGATGCTAGGTCGCTGGTTGCTTGTTTTCTTTGTGATTATTTGGTTGAGCACCTTTAATTTATTGGTTGTTATTTCCTATTTTTAGCATGGTTAGACGGAATCTTAGCTTTTTCGATAGGCTATCTAGTATGTTAATTCGCAAGTAATCAAGTTTAGGTACCGAAAGGGCACTAGTAGATCGCTAGTGTAATCAAGTCCCCGTACCCATTGAATCTCTGGTTCGTAGAAGTGAAGCATTTCTCCCGTGTTTTACTTGGGTGTCTAATCGACCCACCAAAAACTGATTAGTGGCGACTCCTAGGTGAAATTGATTTCCATGTTAATAACTTCAACTTAAGTCGCGAATTGGTATGAGCTTGGGAGAGCTCGAGCTAGGTTTAACTTAGTAATCCATTAGCCAAACCACCTTAGGCGACGGGGCCGGTTCGGGGAGGTCGCGACAGTGATTCATACCGAGTCAAAGAGGACACTGGCTCTTTGGTGAATATTCTAGAGAAAATTAGTGATTTAGTTAATATATGATTAACTGGATTAGTTAGAATTCGCGTAGGATGAACATATAGAATACACTTCCCAAATACGGTTATTTTATGAACCTACACATACATCCCATCTGGGGCCATCCTTGAGAACTGTTATAGTATGGAATACACATGGACATGATCTTTTTAATGATCAAGATGTACTTAGTTATATGGTATATCTAATTTTAAAGAAGTCAAAAGTAATCCACGCCAAGTTTTAAATCAAATAACGTTTTTTGTTTATCAGACATGGGAGATAAAAACAAATTATCAAGTTAAACTAATAAAACATGGCCTAATATTGAAAGAGACAAAGAAAACTTAATAGAATCGCTTGTTAGTAATTGCCCGTTATTTTTAAAATGGAATGTGAGTTCTTCAAATATAAACTTCATGGAGTTGTTTCATTTAAGACCTCTTTTTTTCCCATTTTGATAAAAGTTGTTTCTAGCATAGACTGATGGTGTCTACTTTGTAAAAATAGACGTTTTATTTGTAATTGAATTCATAATTCGAAATTAGTAGTTCTTGATACTGAGAAACCATAAAACCAGTAGTAGCACATTAAGAAGCAAGATCGCGGGTTATAATTAGGTTTTTAATTGGCATTACCCTAAATCACATTATGAGGGAGGAAAATTCTCAATGTCTGTCCCCAAAATGTAATTACTAGCAAGCTGAGCTAGCTCAACTCCCTCCCAACATAATAATATATAGTGGGGAACAAAGCTTATCCAATTAAACTGTGCATGGTCCTTTAAACATCATTGCTATCTCCAAATGGAAAACTAGCAAAAATTATGGGAGCGCTTGATGAAGTTGAAAATGTTTCTAATTCCATCTCGGCTTTGTCATCATCAATTGGCTCATTTGGTGGGTAAAAAAGCGGTTTTGGAGGCATTTGAATATTACCAATATCTCCTCCAAGCATTTCTAAGACTTTGTTCATTGGAGGACGATGGTCAGGGTTTAATTGTATTCACCAAAGTGCAACTATTATCATCTTTTTAGTCACCTTTCTTTCCTCTTCTACAACTTCTTCCATTTCAACACTTTCTCCTCGCTTGACTTGGTTGTATACCCATAGAGGAAAATAAATTTGGCTTGAGTATTCCGCATTTGCTTTTATATTTTTTCTTCTACCTGCCATTTCCATGAGCAACATTCCAAAGCTATAGACATCCGCTTTAAAAGATACACCACCGATAATTTTGTAGAACAACTCAGGTGCCATATATCCTAAGGTTCCTCTTGCAGCAGTCACTGAGACTATACTATGATCAATTGGATAAAGTTTTGGAAGTCCAAAATCAGAAACTTTCGAAGTGAAATTTTTGTCTAAAAGAATGTTGTGAGGTTTGATATCAAAGTGTAGTATTTGCATGTCACACCCCCGATGTAAGTATCCAATTCCCCTCGCCACCCCAAGAGCGATCTCATATATTTTCATGCAATCAAGAACTTCATCACCTTCCTTGGTGAATATGAGCTTATCCAAAGATCCATTTGACATGAGATCATATACGAGAGCTTGTTTCGAGCCTTCAAAGCAAAAACCAAGGAGTTGCACTATATTAACATGGTGAATTCTTTCAATAGTAGCTACTTCACTGATAAAATCTTGGCCATTGGCCTTGGACTGCTTCAAAATCTTGATGGCCACTTCGTTGCCGCTTCTGAGCGTTCCTTTGTACACTGAACCATATCCCCCTTCACCTAGTTTGTGCTTAAAATTTCTGGTGATCTTCTTAATATTCGAGTAAGAGTACCTTATGGGCAAAAAGTTGTTATGAGCTTGCAAAAATTCTTCGATGTTCTTGTCCATTGCCAAGTGCCTTCTTCTGTACTTGCAAATTAGAAATATCGCGACAAATGGCTCCACAATTACAAATTTCGCTGCACATAAATATGCTGAGGAAAATTTTGTAGGTTAGATTAAGTTTTTTCTTTAATTATTTTAAGAACAAATCATTGCGGCTTACCTAGTAATGCCGTAAATTCTACAGTTGTCCAAACTGAAACAACCTTCACACCTGTTGAAGGGACGAGGGATGTGAAAAGGAATTGAAGGAAAAGAAGTATGGAAAACAAAACTTATGAGAAAAGAGAGTAGTAGCAAGCTACATTGTACAGGTTGAATTTTGTCCAAAAGAATATGAGAAGTGGAATGTGTGCATTTGCAAATAAATGGAAATAATAAGCTTCAATTCACATGGATGATAGACGATTCAAGAAACTCCTTTTGCTTTGCTAGTGGTCTACAAATATAATGCAACAATACATGAATACCATTTTATAAGAATTTGTTAAACAAGTGTCTCTTGAATTATTAGTCAAGTGACTAATTAAGGAACTAGTTCAGAAAATTTACACTATGCAAACAAAAAGCTAGTCATATGGCTGCTTGCACAACATTCCTTTCTTTTTTTGATCTTTTTTCTGCAAATCTTGCAACTCCAATTATTTGATTTTAAAATGTAACACGAAGCTCGCGAAACCTTTCCAATAAACAAATGTTGACATATACTAACATGTATATTTTGTCATAATTATTTTGGATATTAAATATTTGTTTGAGGTAAAATTTCATCGGCAGCCGATGCTTACCGAGGTAGTGATTGGATCTGCAGCCCACATAACCCATGTAGATGCTAAAGAAATCAAAGAAGCAAAAGGGAATTTCCTTCTCTTTATATAGAAAAAAGTAGAGATCGAATCCATCAGCCATGATGTTATAGATTAGCTTGTAGTTGTAGGAGCTGGTATTAATCTGCTCTTCACCCCCAAAATTATATGTTACCCACGTCCAGCTCTGAATGGTGTAAAAATCCCTGATACGATGCTTTTGGATTGAGCAAAGCATACAAGTTCCAATTCGATGAGGTGTTGGAAGAGTACGACCCCTCAATGCATGGACCAGTCGTGAAGTAGAATGGAGAACTAACTGGCTTTGAGCAGTTCACAATGACAAATGCATCATTGACCTTCCACCTGTGTATGGTGTATATGTTTGCATCGGAATAGAAGCTATCACACGTCCATGAATAGCGAGGGAGAGATGAGTAGTCATCCTTTTGCAGCCCATCAGCGACCAATCTGATTTCATAGGTGGAATAATTGATAGACTGCACTTAAAATCGGCTATCAAACAAGTACATAGCAGTGCGATTATCTTCACAAACCAGCTCTCTTGATGAGTCACCGCATCTTTTCGGGTCACTCTTTAGTCAAAACGGGTGACTTATATTGCGAATGTTACCACAATTGCTATATTAAGTCATCGTTTTGCAGGTCGAAACATGTTTAGCATTATGCATATTTGCATCAAGTCAGCCATGGGCGCTCGTATTAAATTCCAAAATTGCGAAAATTTGAATGAAACCTTGATCAAAGATTTCAATCAAACTGAGCTGGCTGAAATTGGGGATTTTGAGGAATGCTTGGATTCTAAAGATCGATCAATGAAGCTTTCAAGGAAAAAGAATTTGGAGATGGGGATAGAGATTGGCCGAGGGATCTTGCAAAGCGTGATCAGTGAAAGAGTGTGAATTTCCTTGATGAATAAAAACCGTCCTGAAGGCAATAGCTTCACGCCATTTTCGAAAGGGGATTTTCTTACTCTAAATCAATCAGAGAGATCTTCTCTCCAGCCAGCTAAACGGAGGAATTCTGATATATTTCCGTGAATGATAAGTTCACAGCTGAAGACAAAGGAAAGCGCGACAATTGAGAGGCGAAATCGGCGAAATAGACATCAATAAAAGGATAAAATCAAAGTAAGGAGCTGATTGGAATGTGCAAATGGGCTGGCCAAAATCATGGAATGTCGTGAATCAAGGGAAGAGAAAAGAAAACTTAAAGATTTGCAAAGAAAGAGAGGTGCCTAGAGCCACTATAAAAGGGCACCTTCAGTCAAGAACAACGGCGGGGGGGGTGGACGGCCGGGGAGAAGATCCAGAGGAGCTCGTAATAGAGAGAGATCCAAATATGTGAGAGACAAAGGAGTTCTTCTCTGTGGCTGTTGTTCTCCCATCTCCCTTTTCTCCATGATTCGTGGCAAATTCCTTTGTTCCAGCGAGCTTCTCATCAGCCCGATTGCGTCGCTCTTGCTGCTCATTGCTGCTGTGTCGCTGCTGTTTGCTGCGGCATCGCTGCTGTTCGTTGCTGTTCGCTACTGTCTACTGCTCTTCGTTGCTGCGTCACTGCTGTTCGTCGTAGTTTGCTGCTGTTTATCACTGTTCGCTGTTCATTGCTGCTCATTGCAGTTCGCCGCTCGCTGCTATTCGTCGTTGCTACTCACCGTTTGTTGCTATTTCACTGTTGTTCATCGCTGACACTCGCTGCTCGCTGTTGCGTCACTGTTGCTGCTGCGCGCTATTGTTCATTGCTGCTGTACATTGCTGTTCGCTTCTGCTGCGTTCCTCTTCTTCTACCGTGACTGTCTTGCTCGCGACCTGTTGGTGTCTCCTCAAGTTCACTGTTGCTGCCTTTCATGACTCATCAAGTCTTTCCTCGGGGAAATCCTAAATAAGGTAATCAAGGTTTGACAAATTTCATGTAATAGTTTCATTTTAATATGTAGATTTTAAACACATGATATTTAGTGATGAAACCTTACGTTGCTCTGGTTGTTTCAGTGCATCAACAAAGACATATTTGGCTTTCGAACCTTTAGACACTAAGGTCGAACCCTAATATTGTCTTGCGTGGATTGCTATGGTTGAGTATGTTATTAATGACGTGATTAATTCGGACGTCGTCATTGTGCACATTTACACTCTAGGTTTTCATATTAGGGCCATGCATGGTTAGTCACGTAACACATATAGGTTTCGAATATGCTAGTTTTAGAATACATGTAGATTCAGGTTAGTTCATAGCTTTCATAAAAAAAAATCAAATAAAAAGGTTATTTAGAATCATTTAGATTGCATGTAGACCTAGGGTTAATTAGGCTTAGGTCATATAACGCATGTCATTTAGAACTAAGTTTTAATAATCGTATCATGTAGATAGTTTTAGTTATTACATTACATGCATCGTCCGCATTGCATATAGTTCAGTGGATAGTTCATTAGGCCATATTAGAGTCTTAGGTTTTCAACCTGCTATTTTTAAAATAAAAAAATAGAAATAAATTCATGGTTTCTTTTAGGTCATTCATACACGTTAATGAACTTAGAAGTACATGCATGCATTATCATAGAGATAAAACTATGTTTTCTCGAAATTAGGATTTAGATTGCATTTTCACTAATCATGTGGATATAGGATTAGGAATCATTTAATTTGTAGACTTTTAGGCTCATTTGTATTTCATTAGCTAATAAAGAATAATTTCAAAAACTGGAATAAGACAGTCTCATATACTGCATATTAGTTAGTCATTCGTTCATGCACAATCATGCGTAACATTCATGCATTCTGTTTGTATATTATTCTAAGATAATAGTTTTGCAGAAATATCGTGGTGATGGATAGTGATATGCTTTGCTTTGCCTAGCGCATCAAGGTTCCTTAATTTTTCTGCAATCTATTTATCAGTATGATCACTCCTCATTTGTTAGTGACATGGGATAAAAATGTATAAAGATTGCATGCAAAACATTTTCGGAATAAAGAGAAAAGGTACCGAAAGGATGTTAGATTAATCTAGCATAATCAAGTCCTTGAATTCATGAATATCTGGTTCGTAGAAGTAAACTGTACTCCCGCTTTTTACTTGGGTGTCTAATCGACCCATAACCGATTGGTGGCGACTCCAAAAAGTAAGATTAATAACATGATGGGTTGAGTACCAAGTTTAGGTCGGATGGGCTTGGGAGAATCCGCGCTAAATGAGGGCGATGGCCTCATGAGAGGAACCTTCGTTACCGTTTAGTAAGTCCGTTAACCTTTCCTCTGGTGGTTCACCTCCGGGAAGGTCGCGATAGTACTAGGTAATAAAAGCCAATTAGACTTAAAATCACTTTCTAGTAAATGATTAGGATAGCCTAGACTAGCTTCAACATTAATAGAATGAGTAGATTTATGTTCATAAAGTTAGGATTCACATCTAATCTCAAGCTTATGGGGTTCACGTCCCAAGGCTTAATAACAAGGTGTTGTCTATTGTTTGCTCGACTTAGTATTGGGTTCTCATTTGGCCTCGTATTATTTTTTAACTGACTTGTATCGGGTTTTCCTTCTCACGTTTACTTTTAAAGTCTTTCAATTCTTAGATGTTTACTTACCGCACTGCATTTCAATAGCTTGTGTGTTAATTTCCAATTCATAATAAGATAGGATTAATTCATAATTTCAATTAACCCCACAAAAGCATGTTTAGGACAATAATTGGTAACCAAGAGTGTATGATCACTTAGGTAAATAACCTTTCAAGTTAGAGGTATCGAAATGACGTTAATAGAAATATGAATGTAATCAAGTCCATGTGCTTAGAATTTCTGGTTGTTAGAGAACGAGGTAAACCTCTCGCGTCTCATTTGGTTTCCGCTAAGCCCAAATGGCTAGTGGCAACTCATAGAAATACTTAGGTTGTTAAGAACTAAAAAACGAAACCCAATGTTGCGTAAGCTATGGTTCAGACCCATTGGATTGACATTTTTAGGTGAACCATTCGAACCATCTTTCGGGATGGTTGCGACAATGGAGTTGTGACAATGTATGATACATTCTCTTTTTTGCTGCCCACTCTTTTCCTCCCTCCCCTCTTTGTGTTTGTTCATATCTTCATTGTTGACTTCGAGATTTGACCTCTACATTGGTTTCTTGCATGAAAGGACAAGTAGGGTCGACTCCCGTAATGAAGTTATGTAGAATACAACATGCTAAGACCGCATCAACTTGAGTATCAAAAGATAAAAGGGGTTCGGCATCTAATAAACGGAAATGCCTTTTTAGACCCCGAATGCCCTTTCTATCGTGGACCGTAAAGATGAATGGTGATAATTGAACAACTCTTTCTCATTCTCATGTGGGTGGTCGCTAAATTTCTTCCCATGTTATTGAACTCCATGACATGGAGAAATAATTCTCTGTCGCCATCGAGGTTATTAACGTGACGTTCCAGGCTCGTCGCCATCCCGTTTCTTTTATCTTATTAATAAGCACATGCGAAAACATGTACAAACAAACTCCCAAACAAAATAATAGCTGGAAATCAAGGAAAGCACAATAGGTAAAACACACTATTGCCATTATACCATACATAAACATATTTTACAACCCCTTTTCTATAGGTTGTTCCACGTAAAAATCATATCACAAGTGAAGGCAAGGGTTCATCCTAGCTTCTCCATGTCAACCTCCATCTCGACGGGCTCAACAAAACGAACAGGGAGCGCGGAGCTCATCCTAAAACTATGGAAAACAATGGGAGTGAGTTGAAAACTCAATGAGTAAATTCACTAATACCCATGCAAGATGATGTCTCACTGTCGTACTAATGCATACAAATATTTTTCCCGCCTTACGTCGATGGCAAATTGATAACAAAGACTTTGACCTTGCCCTTGCTATGTTCACGTGAAAGCTCACATTTATCCGGTCACATAGGATGTATAAGAAAATTTACACATGAAGCCTCGCAATCAATCGGCATGCAAAAATACCCGAAAATATTCACTCGTAAATTCACTTATTTTTTAGTCGAAATTCATCAGGCAATGTCTTCTCAATATGTGGGTGACGGGTCCTCCAAAATCCTTTGGCATCCGGAAACCTTCGGCTTATCAATAAACACACATACCGGTACTCATATAAGATTCATTTATCGTCATCCTAGCTCAACCAGAGCATCCCTGCTCAACCGAGACATCCAGCTTCATGCTAAGCATCCCGGCTGAATCAAAGCATCCCGGCTCAACGAAGGCATCCCGAGGCTAGCTTACCGAGGCATCCGGGCTCAACCAAGGCATCCTGGCTCAATCGGGGAATCTCGGCTCAATTGATGCATTGCCGCCAACGCTATGTGACGACGGTCTTCTTATTTCATTTAGTGATCTCACATTATGGATCGCACAAGCCAATTTATTATCCTCTATCTGAATCCACGCATACAAGGCTCTAGTTGTTATATATACATGTAAATCAACAAGCATTGTTATGAACATCAACATATCATACAAACTACCGCATCCAAGCGTCATGCAACCACGCTCAAGAACAGCGTAAAATAATTCATATGGGGTTCCTTTACAACTGAAATCCATCAGTGACGGTTTAGTCCCTTGTATGATCATGCGGTAACAAACAAG